ACGGGATTTGAGAGTGCGCATTGTCGGTGGTATCTAAACTGTTTGAAGTAATTGCACAATGAGCCCCTTGTGAAGTAACATGGAGTTTACCGCACTAATGTTTTGTCGCATAGATTAACTATCACAGCAATCTGTTGCCCGTTCCATATGATTTTTACGTCGATGCAAAGATGTCTCTGATTTCCTTCAAAAGCACGCTCTTATCTAGCAATGCCTTAGTTTAGGATAAGCAAATGCGTATGAAATAAAGTTAGTCAGCAATCGATCGATCTCATATGAGAAAATCCAATCAATCTAGGTTGGATCGATGATACATAACCGGGGAACAGAAGAGATGATCACATCAAGCCTTGATCGATAGCAAAACGTAACGCTAATTGTCGGAAGGTGAACGGAATGAAACGCACTGTATTTGGACACTCGGTGATATGACTGAGTGTCGTAAAGACTGACGTTCGTGCATCTTCTCCATTTCTTTGCAACGCCCAGACCACTAAAATTCTCCATTTTCTGTTCGACTCTTCTTTCAACCTTTCCTGTCTTTCTGCTAATGTTCATCCAAATGGGCAGCCAAAATGGATAGCTACCAAAACCGGTGCACGAAGGTACATAGCTGAAACTGAAATGATTTCTTAACTGTTTTGCATTACGATGATTTCGCAATCTAATCTCCATCACTGATTACATACCGGCTCCTGGATGTTTGAAGGAACTTCCTATGTATCAAGCACCGTATGTTTCTCCAGAATCTCACCAGTTGCAACTTTCCGTTCGGTAACATACGCTCCAACCATATTAGCTCAGCTTGTCGAGTGATCATCAAGTTTGACTTCCGTCTATTCTGAGAAAAGACCACCTTGATACACACGTGATATGTTCCGTGGTGTATACGGAAGCCCGTTTCACTGGAATGAGTAAGTGATCGTGAGACCAGATTCAAGTTGTCAATCAACCATATTTGAGCTCAGACGGCGTTCCAAGATTTCACACTTATTCGACTGTGCTCGACACAAGTGTCATAGAAGCACGGAATGCGTTGCTTGGCTGCTTTCATTCGAGACCGCGGTTGGAATTACTTTATTTGAAGCCCATATACATTCATAATCTATCTTTGAATAAGTGCATTTAATGTGATTATCTGTACACAGACTTCACACAGCCGTAAAACGTTTCGGTTTCTGCAACTCCGGGGACCGACACAACGCCAGTGAATTCGCTTGCCGTTCCATGCGGATACGTCGGCTTGACAGGAAAAATCTAAGAGGGTGCTGGGCGCACGATGCAAGGCTCCCTACTCCCATTGCTCGTCGAGAGCCAATCGCAACACAGACTGATTGTGAAGATCCGGCATGATGGAGGGCCGGATTCGTTCACATCTGTTAAGGTTTCACCATTGACATTTTGTGGTTTCCGTTGCAGATAGATTGTTTGTCCAGCACAACTATAAACAACATCTTCTGTGGCATATTTGCTGTGGGTCGGTAATCGATTGTTCCCGGTTGATCACCTGTATAGCTGTTCTAAGACTTGTGTTATCTTCCACCCTCGGAGCTATTTATTCGTACCCACTACCTCAGACTTATTGTCTAAACCGACAAATGTATCACTGGAAACATAGTTTCTCCGAAATGCGATCTTACGGACAATTTCTTCACGGATAGCATGGAGAAGAGATTGAGTTATCTGAAATTACTTTCAGAAAGTATTAAGAGTAATACACTCAATGCTAAACCATCAAAATACGTTACATGGATATCCCTGATATACTCACACCGCCACAATGTGATCAATAAAACAAAAAAATTTAATACGCGATTGCTGGGTCTTCAGGTGGTGCCGTTCTTTGAACGGAGCTCAAACAACCCGTCAGGTCGCTCACACCTCCAAAACAGACCACGCGCATGCTTGCAGCGCTCCACCCAGGCTGAGTCCGGATCGAGTCAGCCAGTGTTTGTCCGATCGATCAATTCATATTTCAAGGACGCAATATAATCGGTGCATCACTACGCCGTCCTTGTATGTGTGATTTGTTCCACATATTTTGCGTATCGAACTCTGAGTGAAAAATGAATACACGCTGACCATTGTCTCCAATCCTGTTCTCTCTTCGCGTTGCTGTTTGGGGTTAAGCAAGAGTCACTCGTGTCATTTGTACGCCTAACCCGAACATTTCAGTTATTGACTTTACAATGTTAGACCAAATCAATGAGAAAAAGCTGAAATTTCTCAACCGGTCTTTCCATGTAGCTTTTTCAACAACATGGTCACTGGTGATCAGGCCATGAAGGTCACCTAATTGTCGCCTGGGTTTCTCCATTCTCTATGTCCTGTACGGCAGTACTTTATTGGCCGCTTCCCCCTTCCTGAAAACTCTGTCATGGTGTAGTAAGTAGTGAAGAATTAAAAAAATATACTAGGTCGTGGTTTGATTAGTAACCTACACTTATAGATTTCTGTTCAGGTTTTTCGATTACTATGTAATAAGGGGATGAAATCGGTCTGGGACAAACCAGGAGCAACAGTGTTTTCTTTTCTGGCCTCGACTTCTATCATCTTTCATCGTTGTAGCATTGTAAACTGTCAGTCTGCAAACGTTCTAACGTATTCTATTCTATTCTATCTATTGCGATTAACTTTTGCCATGGCTAAGTTTTGCATTTCATTTTTCTTTTTAATATACAGACCAACCGTCACAGAGAGTACATATATCTTCAATGGGGCAGAGACGTTTTCAGATTTAGGGGCACTTCATAGTTTAACGTTAGGATAAATTTCACTTGTTACCCTCTCTTTGTTTGTGAGTAAACGAGCAAGATATGGTATGGGCAGGGTGAATTTCGGTAAGCGTTCATACGAGAGGAGATTTGGCGGAATCGGGAGCATGCGGGAGTGGAGCTGGGAACGATAGCGCGTTAGTTTTGCGTGCAAGGAAGGAGTGGTCAGGAAGTTGTATTTTACTCCTATAGCTTCATATTTAACTCATTCACACAAATAGAAGAGACACGGCTAGTAATCGTTAGACCGCGGCGTATGACTTTGAATTCCTGTTTGGGTAGGCCAGCAAAAATAACTGGCAATAAATAAAGTAAGTTGGGAAAAAGCTCTGATACATAAAGGTAGAAATAACTGACTGGGATGCGCGAAACTGTTTAAGCTTTCGAATTTGAAATGAAAGGCGTCGCAGTTTACCAATGCAGTTATGGATGTGGGTTGACCACTGAAGATTGCTATCTATCTATGGTTACACCAAGATATTTGACAGAGTTCACCCTGGATAAAGGATTGTTATTAATCACTGTGGGGTCTGTCGGATATGAAGAGCGAGCAAAACTATATAAACACTGAACACATTTACTGGGGTTCAGCGTTAGCCCCGATGATGAGGAGGATGAAAGAGCGAGCGAAACTATATAAACACTTGACACATTTACTGAGGAGGAGAATGACTGAATTTAATCAAGATTGTCGGTGATGGAGCTTAGATCAGAGTAAGAAAAGTGGGTTGGCACAGCACAACACCATCTGCATATTTCAAAACACGTGTAGGTGAAACACAACGAATACCACAAATATAAGTGAAAAATAAGTATGAGAATAGCACAGCTCCTTGAACAACTCCGGAGTTGTTGACTGAAGATTTACAAGAAGCTTCACCCAATCTAGTGTTTTTTTTCTCCTTGGGTAAATTAGTTGGGCAGCCAAGCCAGCAATTACTTGGGGCATTCAAAAGATGCCATTTTTTAATAACTTCGATCGAAGAATGCAGTCAAATGCTGAGATAGTATCCAAAAGCACACCTAACAGATTTGGAACAAAGACTTAGTGATAAGCTGATTAAGGGTAGAGACTGCGTTCAAGATGGACCTATTGATCTTGTAGACACACTGTGAAGAATCATTGGGAATGTTCCAGAGACTGCTAAATGTTTTTCATACTGTCCCCTATTCTTCCTTTCCAAACTGCTTGAAAAATTAACCCCGCAGAAAAAACATGCTCGACGAGGCGTTCCCGGCAATACGACCACGGACACACGGATCTCTACAACCATTGGACGAATCTCCATCCAGCCCGAAATCCCAGCCAGAACTAGCCCCGGACGAACTTGTCACACGCGATCCAATCGGACGGGAACAATTTCGGGTGCGACGAGATTCACAAATTTCCGGTCTTCGATTCCGATTCGAGACGATTCAACACGAAATCGAACAGCACGGGACAAGTCGAATAGACAGTATGAAACAAGTGGACACAAATATTGCCACTGCCCTAGCCGAACTATCCACACAGCACCAGTCATTAATCACGTGGATTACACGTCGTCTGTCGCAACAACATGCGGATGATGACGAGATGGTGGACGATGTGCGTGATACACGGATGGACATAGGGAAACAAATTGATTGGGATGAAAGATCTACCTGTTCGGATAGTTCTTTCGTCCCGGAAGGAATAGATCAATCATCGAGTGATAATAGATGCACATTTGTTCTGACCAAACGAATGAATGCTTCTTGGAGTATGCTAAAAGATATTTGTGATGCACGAGCCACACGATTTGAATTGATCGATGCTATTGATCGATTTTATCACACGATAGAATGTACCAATGAGTGGATTGTGCGTAACTATCGACTACTGTTATCAACCGATGATTTGGGAGCAGATTTGAACAGTCTTATTCAGTTACAGAGAAAACTTCTTGGTTGGGAGTCGGACATGGTCGCTTTGGGGCAGAGAATGCAAGAGATTGGTGACGAAGTACAACGATTGATACACGAGTTACAAGATCAAGCACCCACACGAAGAGATCTGTATCTGGCCTCGGATGAATTGCGAACAGTGAGCGAAATACGCCAGTTAGGTGAACGGCTGGTTGATCAATGGAATGAACTTGAGCACGCTTTGCAAGACCGACAAGAAAAACTGCTCGTCTCGGCCGAATTACAACAATTTTTACAGGCAAGTCACGTGTGTGCTTTTTTTTCTTCGTTTTTGAGAAAATCGGTTTGACGACCGAGAACCGTCTTTCGGGTTCGGAATTCACCAAAAATTCATGGTATTTTGGGTTGACTGATCAGGGACACCAAAGGTGAATCCTTGTACTGGGCCAAATGTGACACTGTGGTTTGTGTACTGTTTCCCCCGTGTGTGGTTATCTCTGTTTGCAGCAAGTTGAACCATACCCTATCTTTGACGAATTCGCAGGAACTAAGAAAAAATATCCGAGTAGTCGTCTTCTTTATTCACCTAAATCAGACTACGATTCGCCTGTACATAAAATCAATGATTGTGGTAATGGTAGATATCATATAAGTTTTTTGTTTCTTAACTTAATGAATAATTTATGTCGTACAAATAAAGACGGGAACAAACAGACAAAAAGAGGTAAAGATACCAAGCTAGAAGAGCATGTTTTCACTCACTGATTGTGATGTTTTGTCTCGAGACGTACTGGTCAATTCATGGGTGGCGTATATTGTGCTTTACGGATTTCGGATAACGCGAGATATGGGATCAAGATGTTTTCTGTAAATCCCTAAATTCACATAGTCAGAGCATTGTACGGACTTATCCTACCTAAACTGGCCAATAGCAGCTGTTCACAAATAAATTTTGGTTTAAATTTGTCCATTCTCAATATATTATTTGTTGTAAAAATAACAGCAATATTACTAAACAACTAAGCCAGTCTGATGTAGGTCACAATTCCACCCTTGTTTGAATCAGTCCAATTCAAAATGTGCGCGAAAATACGTTTGAGTAGTGAGTAGAATGTTTTGGTTGTTGCAGACTCCCCGGATGCAAGATCATTTCACAAGTGAATTATGTTTTTGTCCTACCCCCCGCATGCTCTCTCTCTCTTTCTATCTGTGCTCGTCACAACAGTGTGGCGATGAATGACTTCTTTCGCTTACTACTGGTGCACATACCCATGGGAAATATCGTCCACGAATAACTCTGATAGGCTGGACTCTGGGATAATCACCGAATGGGGCATTCAACCGTGATATCAACTGACAGTCTACAATATATCTGACAAGCGAAAAATGAAAACAATAATAGTTGCCTGAGAGATATCTCGTGTTTTTTTTGAATCAACGGAAAATCGGGATGGTTACTTTCAAGACACAAGTCATTTGGCGTGCTTTTACAAGTGAACTGTGTGATGTGACAAGCATATTCAAGAGATATTTGAACAAGAAAATCAATAACTTTATCGAAAATTAAATGTTTACAGAATCCACGAAATTCGGTTTGGGTTTCTCATATGGATTGATACAATAGACTATTTGGTTTGAATACTTTAAGAACAGTTCGTTCACATGATATGGCTAGATTTTTCACCTCGCATGCTTAATATCTTCATTGAACCAGTGGAAATGCAGTCCAGAACTAGAATACACAACAGCCAGAAAATATCGATATTGTGGAACTGTCGTGTTGAAATCTACTGCCGAAATTGTCCAGATAGGAATTAGTGCAATGCCAGAACACACCTGAAGCTTACTGTAAATACATTTAAGCACAACTATAGGTCATATCTAAATTACCAAGATTCACCTAACCAATACATTTGAGAATATTATCCCAAACCAGCTCAGCTGATAGAGCGTGCGTAGTACTAATGCGTATGCGATATCCAATTGTGGGTTCGAATCTCAACAAGGCTACGGAACCTATCAAAATTTCAGCCAAACCAGTTAGGTAACCGTGGAGTTATCTTACCAGTCCACCGGTTCAATGTTTCAATAAGATGGAGATTGCAAACAAAGTGCGATTGCAGAGCTGTACAATCAAATTTAGTTCAATACAGGGTAATGAAATTGCAATACAAGGAGGCATGTACTGTACAATTATTTTGACCTTGCGGGGTTTGATCCGTTTAGGAAGCAACCATCGACCCAACCGCCGCTGGACGTTGGGATCTCGTTGATAGAACACAGAAATACCAACCCATAGCACCAGGATTGTGTCATTTGTAACTGCGCACTGAGTCTCATACGGTAACACCTCTAAGGAGCCTATCTCTGTTCCCCTAGCAGGATGATGCATGAACATAGTTGAAATTCGGAAAACGAAAAATGATTGACGACAAGTAATTCATCTACAGTGTGAATGTGACGCGGTTCAAATCTACAAGACTGTTGACATGCTAAAGGATTCATGGAAAGTTACTGTGATTAACGTTAGTGCTGANNTAGTGCTGATAAATGATCCCGGGTGGTGAGCTAACTGTATGACGATGGAACCAACTGCGTGGTCACGATCGGAAATTGACGCAAATTACAGTGAGCTGAATATGTTTAGGAAGTGAGCGCAAGCGCTTCAAGAGTGTTTTGTTTTGCTTGGTCGGTTCGTTTAATTTGGTTTGGTTAAAGATCGCATCGTGAGGAGCGCTGCTCATCGAGTTCCAAACGCTCTACAAACACGCACAGAGAGAGAGAGAGAGTGAGTGAGTAAATAAGTGGATAATTCAAGGATACACGGAATAGCAGTGAGCAATCTGCAATCTGTCGAATGTAATCGATGTGCTTCTAACGTGTTTCAATTTCTGTTCATCCGTTTGCTCATTCCCACAATGATCATCATAAGTGAAGCGTCATGAGGAATCACAGAATTTGGTTGCGTTTTGCCGAACTCAAACAAACAACATATCGATACATCTACGTTAAAGTGCCATTTTTCAAACACGCATCGTTTCCAATCGTTATTCCTCTCGGAAAATTCTCTCTATCGGTTGTGACGTTTATTTTATGGGTGGAATTTTACGTCCGTTACGTCCGCTCGGTCGAGGATGGACGTTTGTTGAGGATCGCATACGGGACATCACTAATTTGGCGTACATCATAAAGAAATCTCATCAGAAACATACCATCAAAGTTCCTGACCGCACAATTGATAGTGAATGTAGCAATCCATGGTTATTCTTTGATATCCGGCAATTTTCCCCAGGTGATCTTGTTAATTTTTGATTGTCGAAATAAATCACCGACTATGTTGCCTATTACTCGCAAATGTGAGTAGTACCTCAAAACACAAGGTGTGATACATATGCGCAAATCACTTGATCGCTCTGGGTCGCTAAGTCGAAAACAGACTGCGTGAGACGGTCAAGAATCATGTAGTAAAAATCTAGAACACAAATCTTGTTAGACGTTACTCCAACTATTAACAGTTTCGCTTCTCAGGAAAAGAGGTTTCCTGAGATTACCAGTTCAACTAGATTGTGAAGCAAGTACGAATGCAATTTCCTTAGTTTACAGGCTCTATGGAACTTCTGAGCGGATCTAGACTTGGAATATCAATTTACAAGTTGATAAAAACAACTGGGATGTAATGCCAATAGCCTGAATGTCACTTCTTTATTCTTATCGGGAAACCTGCCTGGGCAGCAACACTGTCAAGTTAATCGCAAAGTGAAATTGATTCGTCAATCGGGGATACAGCATTCGGTGAGAACGCCTACACCGCATGAGCTGTGACGTGGACTAGCAGCAAAGGTTCGAACATTATTTCGTGTGCTGAATGATAACGTTATGGAGCATGAAATTTCCGGGATAAACACGATTTTACAGCATTGGATTCCGTGGTTATTCATGTTATAACTGTACCATCCTGCTGGTTTGTGAAGAACACAAGTCCCTGAACTGGACCGGGTCGAATACAAACATGTCAACACGATTTATAGAGTTAGTGGGTGAAATATAGATCAATAGTCATTAGACT